AAGAGGGGCGGAGGAGGGGGCAGGCAGGCAGGAGGAGGGGCAGAAGAAGAAGAAAAAGAAGAAGGCAGCAGGTGCAGGTGGGGCAGGAGGCGGCGTGTCGGACGGTGCTGGTGGTGGCAGCAGCAGCAGCGGCGGTGGGCGGAAGAAGGTGGTGCTGGGCGCGGAGGAGCTGAGGAAGCTGGAGGAATACATTGGCGAGATGGAGGGCAAGTGCGCTCGCATGCAGGTGAGGGCAAGGCAAGGGCCGCTGAGGTGGGTGGGGGCATGCAGGTGAGGGCGCTTGCACGTCTGTACACCCTCTTCCCTCACTCCCTTTTCCTCCCCCACTCTCCTCACTTGCTCCCCCTCCCTGCTGCCGCCTCACTCACGTCCTCTCCCTGCTCCCACACCAGCCGGGGCTGGCAGGCAAGGTATCAGAGGCGAGGCAAGGTATCAGAGGCGAGGCTCGGAGGGCGGAGGTGGAGGGGGTGGTGAGAAGTCTCGCTCCCTCAGGCAGGCCCCATTCTCGTCTCTTCCCCCCTCCATCCCTCACTCCCTGCCTCGCTTGCTCTCCGTGACCCTCCCTTGTCTCTTCCCCTCTTCTCCCCCCCCCTCCTCCCTCCCCACCAGGCGGGGCTGGCAGCAAAAGCGGCGGAGGCGGAGGGGTTGAGGGCGGAGGTGGAGGGGGTGGTGAGGCGCATGGACGAGGAGAGGGCGGCCAGGGACGCTGCTCTCGCCACGCTAATGGCTGGCGCAGACGGGTGAGAGCAGATGAGCGTGCGTGGAGTGGGGTTGTACGTGAGTTGGACAAGGGTGGGGTTGGGTGGGTGCGTATGGCATGAGTGCATGGGTGGGATGGGAGCGTGGGTGGCGGCTCACACCCAGCAAAAGTCCTCCCATCTGTGAGTGGCCCTCCCACTCCCTCTTCTCGTTTCCCTCCCTCTCACCCCACACCCAGCAAAAGCCCTCCCATCTGTCCACCTCGTCTTTCACACAGCAGCAGCAGCAGCAGCAGCAGCAGCAGGAGCGCCGCGACTGTGTCCCTGGCAGGGCGCGCTGCTGAGAGCCATGCTCACTGCGTGTGCTGCTGATAGCTATGCTCACTGCGTGTGCTGCAGACAGCTATGCTCACTGCGTGTGCTGCTGTATGTCTCCATGGTCCACCCCCCCGCCCCGTCCCCTCACTCCTCAGCTCCTCGCAAGGCACAACAGCAGCAGCACAGGCCTTCTCCCATCACCGCGGGGAGATGGCAGTGCTGACAGCCATTCTCATTGCTTCCCTTCGTATGTGTGCCTGTGGCCCATCCCCGCCCCGTCCCCTCACCCCTCAGCTCCTCGCAAGACACAGCAGCGGCGGCACGGGTGTTTTCCCAGCACAGTGGGGAGATGGCAGCGATGGCACATACAGGGGGCTGGGGAGGCACGAGTGCAGGCACGCAGTAGGGCCTGTTGCTGACAGCCATTCTCATTGCTTCCGTTCGTATGTGTGCCGCTGCCTCCTCCCCTCCCTTCCCCGTTCCAATGACCCCCTCAGCTCGTCGCAAGACACAGCAGCGGCGGCACGCGCGTTCTCCCAGCACAGCGGGGAGATGGCAGCACTGGCACAGCGGGCCCGAGAGGCAGGCGCGCAGGCAGCTGTGCTGGCAGGCCAGGGTGGGGAGGGCGCGGGCAAGAGCGCTGCAGGGGGCGCGGGGGCAGCGGGGACGCTGGCGATTGTGGCTGCTCCTGGTGCCGGGAGCGCTCTGATGAGCGCTGAAGGCGACAGGTGAGGGGCGAAGGGGGAACACAAGGGGGAGGTGAGGGGAGGTTGAAAGGGAGAGGGATGGTAAAGGATGGAGCGAAGGGTAAAGGCGAGAAGAGACAGTAGAGGGGAGAGAGGAGTGTGAAAAGGAAAGGGAGGGTATAGTGGAGAGGGAAAGGTAAAAGGATAATCTAGTCGATGGGGGAGGGAGGAGCGGGGAGAAGGGAGGGTTGATACCGTAGTTGCCTTCCTTGTATCGTGCCTACCACTCTTCAGAGTCATCTCACTCCATCGCTTCCCCTACTCCCCCTGGTCCCCCCACTCGCTCTCTTCCCATGCCTCCATGCCTCCATGAGCTTCCACAAAGGCCCCTTTGCAGTCGACGCATAGGTCACCTTCTTCCCCCTCCCCTCAGTCCCTCGCTCTCAGCGGCTTCCGCGGAGAGCCAAGTCACTTATGATCTCGCTCTCTTCCTTGGGATCCTACTGGGCCGCCTTTCCAGTCACTTATGACTCACCTTCCTTCCCCACCCCCTTCTCTCCCCTACTCCCACCCCCCCCTTTCCCTCGACTCCCCCAGTCGCTCTCTCTCCGCGGCCTCCATGGGCTCAATGGGCTCCTACTGGGGCGCCGCCCCTGCCGGCCCGCCGCAGCCCACACCGGTGGGAGGGGGCGGGTGGGGGGGGGTGCGGCGGCAGCAGAAGTGGATGGTGGACGGCTCGTGGGTGGAGAGCATGCGCCGGGTGAGTGGGGACCGGTGGAGTGGGGTGGGGTGGGATGGCGTGTGGGGTGGTATGTGGTGTTATGGGGTGTAGGGTGGGCTGGGTTGAGGGGTGAGATGGGGGTGTGGGGTGGGATGGGGGGGTGGGATGGGGTTGTGGGGTGGGATGGGGTTGTGGGGTGGGATGGGGGTGTGGGGTGTTACTGAATGAGATGGCAATGCATGGCATGTTAGTGGATGGGAAGATGCATTAAATTAAACAGGCATATCATGCTTCTTGTCATGCCATTTTGCTCTTTTTGTGCATTCACCATGCAACATTAACACTACCATCCATCATTGCATTAACTGCCATGCTTTCCCATGTGACACCATCGCCATCATACCATCACGGCACCACGCCATGGCACCATCAGGAGCATGCGGAGATGCGGAAGAAGCTGGAGGAGGAGAGGCAGCGGTCGGCAGCACTGGAGCAGGTGAGGGCCGTGCTGCAAACAGCCTTGCCCGCATGTAATGCAAGCATGCCAATACTGCTTACCTCCCGCGACTTCTCCCCCTGGCGTTGCAGTTTCCCTTCTCGTAACTCATCCTCACCCCTCACTCCATCCCCACCCCTCACTCCAACGCCAGCCATACACCAATTCATCCGTTCACATGCACACATCTCATCCCTCCCCGGCCTGCACATCTCATCTCTCCCCGGCCTGCACATCTCATCTCTCCCCGGCCCCTCACAACTCACCCCAGCCCCCACGTCTGAACCCACTCACATCTTACCACTCTCCTCGCATCTCCCCCTGCCATTGCCGCACCCGTGCCATTACGTTCCCCCACCCCTTATGTCTTATCTCTGTCCCGACCCCACACATCTTATCTCTCTCCCGACCCCACACATCTCAGCCTCACATCTCACCCCTGCCCGTGCCCCCCTGCCCGTACCCCCCTGCCACGGCCGCAGGTGCAAGCGGAGAAGGTGTGGATGGAGGCGGCGCTGGTGCAGCTGCTGGAGTCGCGCAAGCGCTATGAGGGGGAGATAGCGCACCTCATCGCCAAGGTGCGTTGGGTTTCAGGCTGAACAAAGCAAGCACCCTTGCCTGTTCACCCGACACAACCGTCGCTGCCACGTGAAGTGAAGTCAAGTCATGGCGTCCAAGTGGTGGGCCATCTCCCCTGGGTTCGCGGAAGCGTCACGAGGGGGAGATGGCACACCTCGTCACGAGGGGGAGATGGCACACCTCTTCACCAAGGTGGGCTGGAAGTCGGAACTGGAGAAAGCAGAAACCCTTTCCTGGTTACTAGGTGTAACGGGCACTTTCTCTTGCAGTCAACGGCACTCAAATGATGTTAAATCCCGAAGTTCGATAGTTCTTCACCGCATTACAAAGGTTCGTTGCTCTGCAGCTCGTGTGTTATGATTTGATTTTTGAGACCTGCATTTCCATAATTGCTCACCACGTTTGTCAAAGTAACTTCTCTTCCTCCCTACCCTGACAGGAGTGGCGTGTCATGTCGCCCGCCCTCTGCTCTTACTCCTTGTCATCTTTGAGTTCTCCCTCCCATCACAAATGCATCCTTCCCTGCCACGTGTCTCACTGCAATAGGTAGCTCATCTGGAGGCCAGTGCAGCGGCCAGCTGACACTCCCATTTCATGGCTCCACTAACACTCACTCTCACAGGTACGTGCCACACTTACTCTCACAGGTACGTGCCACACTTACTCTCACAGGTACGTGCCACACTTACTCTCACAGGTACGTGCCACACTTATTCTCACAGGTGCGTGCCACACTTACTCTCACAGGTACGTGCCACACTTACTCTCACAGGTACGTGCCACACTTACTCACAGGTACATGCCACAGTCTCTCTCACAGGTAGATACTAGACTCACTCTTTCTCTTACGGTTATTAGGTGTCACACCTGCTCACTGTTTCTAACTTCCTCTCCTCTTCGATTATGGCTAATCCCTCAGGCAGTGTAGGTTCATTAATAATATCTCCAACCATTCCTGTGGCAGATATAGGAGCTATACTCCAACATGCGGGCTGAGTTAGTTGTCGCTTCTGCTGTCACGTGGTTCTCACAGTATATTTTGTGTTATTCAGTTGATTAAATGCTGTTTGTATATTTCATGAGGAGGATAGGTTGGCAGTTTAGCCAGTTTTGTTTTGTTTGTCCTGTGCTTCTGCACACTCTACCAGCAAATTTTCACAGCAGAGCTATTCACATCGTATGTATACTATGTTTCTAGCTATTTCACAGTCCACGAGTCCATGTTATCAATTCACAATGCTGCCATGAGAGTAGCACATTAGCCAACCTGGCATACAACCGCTGAGATTTTGTTATCATCAAGTCACAGTATGTGCTTTGGTCAATGGATTGAGGAGATGGGGGGGGGGAGGTGGGTTGGCGTGCCCGTGTAAGAGGGCAATTGGCTGTCAGCGCGTTTGCACCTCAGCCAGGCAACTTTCACTTCAGCGAGATCCAAAAGTGTCACTTTACTGTACCATGTGTTCCGATGTCTGAAAAATGGGTCACTTGTGAGTGCGTGATTAATTGTTGTGACTGAAAATTGAGAGTGGGATAGGCCAGACGAAGAGTGCGACGGGGACTAGAGGATGCGAGAAAGGATAGGTCAGAATGCGAGTGGAAATGGTGTGTGGGAGGGTGAATGGGAGTCAGTGTGAATGGTGAGAATGCGAGTGAGACTGTTCACCCGGTTTTCTTTGTTCTGAGCAGGTTTATCAATACATTATTGAAATAGAAAAATCTGGAAGAAAACTGTTCTTTATTTGCAATAGTATAGCTAGGTACACAAAAAATATGTACATCAAATCCACAACACGATGCGACTCTCTCGTCCTCGTTAATGAATTTCCTTGTACCGGGGTTGATGGCGGCGATGAAGAAGAAGGCGATGCTGGCGAGCAGCAGCGGCTCGAGCTCCCACACGGGCACGCCGATCTCGATGTTGAGCTGCGCCAGCGCGTCCCTGCCCGTGATCACCTTGCCGATCAGGCTCGCCGCAAACCCTAATTGCGCCAGCCGCCCCACGAACAGCTCGTTCGCCTTGGTGAATCCGAACAGCGGCCCGTCCTCGCTCAGCCCCAGCGCCGCCTTGATGCTGCCGCGCTTCACGGGCGGCCCCACCGGCTCGTCGTCCACGAATCGCCCGCGGTCGCCCAGCCCGCCGATGGCGCCGAGCACGGTGAAGGCGATGAAGAAGAGCAGCAGCGGCTCGGTCTCTGTGATGGGGATGCCCGTCTCGATGTTGAGCTGCGACAGAATGCCCGCGCCAGTAATCGCCTCGCCCAGCAGCGACGCCGCGAAGCCCAGCATGGCCACGGGCCCCACGAACAGCTCGTTCGCCTTGGTGAACCCGAACCCGCCCGACGTGCCGAAGATGCCGTCCTCTCTGCGCATCTTCGTCGCGGGGACGCTCTTAGCGGGGACGGCGGCTTTGCGCGAGCTGAAGAGCGCGGTGACGCCTAGTCCGCGGGGAGCTGCTAGTTGGGGAACGGCGGGGAGGCTGCGGGTGGCGAGCTCGGTGCCTCTGACGGTAGAGCTGAAGGAGAGGCCTGAGAGGACCTGGCGAGAAGCAAGTGCGGAGGCCATGGCTGTCATTTGGACCGATTAAGACGAGGAAGCGATATGCGAGAAGTTAGCAGTAAATGATGAGCACGGAATGATGATCGATTATGGTAAAAGAGCATACCTGAATTTGTTTTGTGCATAGTATCAACGATGAGGGAATAGTGAATCGAGGCGCGCCATGTCGGCTGATCAAAGCTCATGCGGACAATTCGAACTGCGATCTCATTTCCAAGTGCGGGTTTGCAAATGCAATCTTTTCGGGCAGAACTATGCGGCTGTTCGTGTTTAGGGTTGGGGCTCCCCGTGTTTAGGGTTGGGGCTCCCCGAATCGAATGCCATCCAGATGGGGTTTATTTTGTTCAGACCGCGGGCAGATTAGGACCCATCAGCTTCTTCCAGGCGGACTGTTAGGGATCGCATTTGCGAACCGCGCTGGCTGAATTGGATTGCAGTTGAAGTTGTCCCAAGCTCATGTGACCCGTGTGTGGCGGTTGTTTGCTTTCATCGCAGCGCACTGCACCTGGAGCAACCTTTTGGGAAGTTGGACTGGAGATCTCTGACGTGGCTGAACCAGAAGCGCGAATTCGTAGTGAGGGACGTGGAAGTCGCTGGTGCTCTAGATGTGCTGCACCGAGAATGTTTTGACTAGTCGACGTGGTGGTGCGATGGTGGCTAAATGCTGCTGACATGGACATGAAAAGTTGCGGGTTTCGTTTGCTGGGCTACTTTTCGTGGCAAGGACACTAGTATTTCTCGCGTGTTGAATTCCGCCACATCGTCACCCGATGTAACGACTCAGCCCCATTACAAAAACTGGCATAATAACACCTATTTTGATTTTCACTAGCCCTTAACACATGCCCAACATGCAGGATCTCCACAACGGAACTCACATTAGCGTAGCATGTAGTTACCAGGGCTGAAGTGTGTGTGTGTGTGTGAGAGAGAGGCACTTAAAAAGATACGAGACGAACTGCGCGGCTGTGGCCTACGGTGCAACCTCGCTAATCGTCCGCATGGAGCCCGTCAGGGGACACAGGGTGCCTACCCGAAGGCCTCGCGACAGCGGTGGACGGATTACGGGTGCTAGGAAGCCCAGTCGGTACGAGAACGTTCTGCCAGCGCACCATCAGGGGCACACTCGAGTCAACAGCAGCAGCCTTGGGGCTCATCGGGAGATTCCACCCGCAGCACGCACTGCTACTCCTCTCGCGATGCATCTCGCGCAGGATATCGTACCTCCTACGTACGACGTCGGCTCACGCACTCCCGCGCAGGGAATGGAGGGAATGGAGCGAAAGACTACTGTGGACAGCGCTCAAAGCGGCCCACCTGCACACATTGAGCAAGGAGCTGGAGCAAAGCCTGGTGTGGAGGCAAGCGACGTTGCCAATCGCGCTGGGGGGTCTGGGAATCATAGAACCCCTCTCAGAAGCGCCAGCGGCATACCTGGCCTCGTTGAAGGCAGCGCAGACCCTACTCCAGCACGTGTCAGCAACGCCAAGCCACCCACTGCAGCGTGTGGCGGCACTGGTATAACCACACGGAGACGGAACCACGGGGGAGGGAGGAACAAGTATCAGGGACTTGAGGAGCAGACTTCCCGAATCGGCAAGAGAGCTACTCAGTGAAACTGAACAGGGTGGAGAGGTGAAAGGCCGCCTGCAGGAACACCTCTCGAGACAGATAAACTTGGACCGGGCAGCAGCACTGGTGGGTGACACGCGGATCGACAAGCCGGGGGAGGATAATGGCCACGTCGTCCGACTCATAAGCCTGCAGGGAGTGGGAGTGGGGGATTGGCTCCATGCCATCCCCACACGGGCAGACCTCACTTTCTGGGGCAGTTTGGGATGGCTCTGGGCTTCCGGCTAGAACTGACTCTAGCGGTGACGGACAACTGCCCGTGCGGCAAGAGATGCTCTAAGATAGGGGACCGGAGCCTCCCTAACCATCTGCTAAGGTGCGCGGAGGGCAAGGACCGGACGAACACACACAACAGCCTAGTCTATGCGGCATTACGGATGGCCAACAAAGCTGACTACATGACCGCACATGAAACCACGGCCTTCTTGCAAATCATTAGCCCCAAGCGGAAACCATTGTGACCGACGTTACAGTGACTGATCCAGTCCTGCAGCGCCGAGACACAAGGGCGGTGAAGCCACCAGGCTGGGCAGCAGAGGATGCGGCAAGGGGGAAAAGGGGGATGTACGAGGGACGGCCGGATTTCGTTAGGGTACTTGGCCTAGCGGTAGAGACCTATGGGGCCCTGACCCTGGACACCCAGAGGTTCCTCCGCATGCTGGGGATGCAGACGGCCAAGAGAAAGTACAGACAGGGGAGGCTCACTATGGTAGCAGCCAAGCTCACTGCACACTACCGCCAACGTTGGTCGGTATTGCTCCAGCGTAGCCAGGCCAACACCTTGCTGGCCAAGTCCAACAGGGCGACCGAACGAGCCTTCTCCCAGGCAGCAGCCGACCCATGGGAGCCCCGCCTAGGAGATTACAAAAAGGACGTTGAGCAGGAGGAACAGGAGCAAGGGGTGTGGTCGGAGGCGGCGCGGTTGCTACCGCAGGCAGAGGGGCAGGAGCAACCGGAGGCGACACGCGAGCCGACTGAACCTCCGCCGAGCTCAGGCCGGCGCAGGATCAGACGCCGCAGCCGGCCCAGGGGCAGGCGCAGGAGCAGACGCCGAGGCGAGAGCGGGAGCAGGTGACGACGCGGGCGCAGGACCAGGCGCCACGCTAGGCGCAGACAACGACGCCACGACGGGAACGGGTGGCGCAGCAGGTGCGAGGACAAGGCTAGCCTGAGTCACAGATGACAGCGCAGATCGAGGTGCGGGAAGAGGCGACATCCCCACGGCTGCCGGCGCCAGGGGAGATATGGTCGGAAGGGCCATTGCCGATAACGCCATGACAAAGGGCCGCGGCGAATAAGGATAATAGTCGTCGCCTATCGATACAGGCATCGCGGGGCGGACGAGGTGGCGGACGAGGAAGGGTGTCTGGGAGGGGAGGCGGACGAGGAAGCACGCCAAGCCCTAACTCGAAGAGTTGATCGGACGGAAGCTGAGGAGGAAGCATCTGATCCTACGTTTATAGCTGAAGCGGTGGAAGAGTTCACCATGGAAGAGTGGGGGGAGTTAGAGGAAGAGGAACGGGAAGGTAGAAGTCGGGCACGCCCAGCACCAAGCCAAGCCGCCCCAAGACCAGCCACCCCGGGGGGTAAGCCTAACCGGCAGGAACCAGACACCACCGCATCAGAGACCCACCAATTTTCACCTGAGCAACTGGCCAAAGACACAGTGCGGTTCGGCAAAGTTGAATTGTGGGATCTGACTCCCCTACGCGACAGTCGTCAGCCCCCACTTTCGCGCAAACTCCCTACTGACATTCGCCCGCTTTTCGCCACTGCCCTCCTGACACCACTACTCCACCTCGCGCGTAACCCGAGGTCAGTCGCAGGTTGGCGCCTGTTACTCTTCATCCCGCAACTCACCCTTCGCCTCCCCTCAACAGAGAAGCCCGATTGGCCGGCAGTCAAGCGGCGTCTTCGCCAATTCAACAAAGGCGAATGGCAGCAGCTGTACGACTCGGCAGTTACTGCAATCACTGGACCACACCCGCCTCGTCACACGCCAGATGCTATTGGCAAACGTGCTAGGGCAGAAGGTCTCGCGCGAAAAGGAAGCCTTCGTAGAGCGATCCTCGCCCTCGAGTCAACGCCGGTCACCGACCCATCTGCAACCATCCTCGCCGCACTCAAAGCAAAACACCCCCCCAATCCACCTGGAATCATCGATTGGGACATCCCCGATACAGTCCAAGCCGCATCGATCGAAAAAGGAGACTTCATAAAAATGCTGTGCCGTTGCGAGAACGGGGTGGGAGGGGGACCGTCTGGTATGACATTTGAACACCTGCGTGATGCATCACTCACCAACACGGGGGTTACCACTCACCTCCACGCCCTCGTCAACACCATCCTGCGAGGCAAACTGCCAGACGAGGTCTGCTCGCTACTAACAGCCAGCCGTCTCATAGATCTAGCCAAGCCCGATGGAGGCACTAGACCGATAGCGGTAGGAGAGTGTATCCTGCGATTAGCCGCAAAGTCCGCCCTCTCCGCCCTCTCCCAAGAATGCCGAGCGCATTTCCTCCCGTTACAGTACTGCGTTTCCGTCCAAGGCGGTAGCGAAGCAATTATCCACGCCGCGAGAGCTTTCACGAGCGCAAACCCGGACGCGCTTATACTACAGGCGGACCTGGCGAATGCGTTTAACTCGATTAACCGTGCAGCAGTGGACAGCGCACTCCGCGACACTGATATCCAGGGTCTCCTCCCCCTCGTCAAAGCATCATATAGTCGGCCAGCCCAGTTGTTCCTCGACGCAGGGTCCGGTTGCGAGGCGCTGACCAGCGAGACAGGCGTGCGACAAGGTGATCCGCTCGGCCCGCTGCTGTTTGCCGCGGGGATCCACCCCATCCTCTCTAAAACAGCAGCATCTTACCCAGCAGTTCTGTGCTTAGCATTCGCCGACGACATCACATTCCTTGGCCCGGCAGCAGAGTGTTCTGAAGCTTTCTGCCATTTCACGACAGGAGGGCCGCTGCAGCTTCCTAGTGAGCTTCGTGCAGGCTCACACACTCCTCGGCCAGTTAGGGGGCCAAGCAGGGGCCACCCTGACAGGAGCACTAGACCTACCCAAAGTAGCAGACCACAGCCCGAACGATCTACAGCAATGGATCCAGGACTGCAGAAGCAGCCTCACGCAGGAGGCAAGGGATCTTATTTCAGCAGAGCATGCAAAACCCAAGGGCCAACTGCAACACCACCTTTCTCTCTTAGTCCAAGAGGGCCGGAGTGCCGCCCAGATCACCGCATCCAGGCAAATGGACCTGAACCCACTGCTGGGCCACACCCAACGCCTTATCTCCCTCACAGGCTACGAGGCAGGGGTCTGGCTCATGGCGATCCCCTACATGCCAGCGCTACGGTTATACCCCTGCCACTTCACGTTC